TGAGTTTGAGCAGACTGTGACATAAGGCAGCCCTTCCTGCTCACTAGTCACTACAATGGCTAGTTTAATGTGATGTACAAGCGAATAAGTACAGGTTGTGCAGCAGACATTTCATCACGTTATGTTCCAATGTGATCTGCATGCAGAGTTAACAAGTAGAATTTAGATATCTATTATGGTATATATGATGACATGGCATCAAATAAGGTACAGTATCTATAGTCTGTGTTGCATTATCACTGTACAATTATTGTTCATCAGCCTCAACGTGCAGGGCCATACTGGACAGAAAATGCAGGCTACCTTGATCACACAATCACTTCTCCATTAAACCTTGAAATTGGTTTGAGAGATTAGTGATGGTGTGGAGTACAACTAATGCTGAGTTCCAATTAGGATTTGCTGTTGCACAAACTGGTCACACTGCCCTGTGCTATGTGGGTGATATCTTGTCATCAGTCCCCCTCCCACCCTTAACGCAACCCAGCAAACACAGACAGCTCACTCTCCAAAATGACAATGTTCATCCCCACAAAACAAGGCATACCTTTGTGCACATAATGTTCAAGAGCTGGATTGGCCTTCATGATTACCCATCTGTTCTTGTGAGGTCTTATGAGACACATTGGATTGCAATGTACAGCTACATTGTCAACTACAGAGCATTGCACAGTTGGTCCAGGCATAGCTGCTCTCCATAAGCACTTGTGTGTCATCTGTCTGTTGAGTCATGTAAACTTCAGGCATGTGCAATGGCAGGTCACACCTGCTACTAGATATCTGCAACCACTGTGTGGTTTCATGAAATCTGTTACATCATGGCCAACTCATCTCACCTGTGGCTTGTGATTGATTTTTTTTATTGCACAGACAAACTTTAACTGAAACTAAAGTATCAATATGTATTGAAATATAAGGTGAAAGGACATCACTATTGATAAAAACAAGACCCCTAACTTTGTTTTTCACTTTTCTTCAATTTTTTCTTTCATTGTTTTTTTTTTTTGCCTTTCTGCCAACTTACACTGTGTTGAAATAACTTAAATGCTGGCGAACATGGAAGGAATGTGTAAAAGTAATTAATTTCAACACCCTTAACCAACTCCCATCGGCTGCTGGTGGTATTTTTATTAACCTACATTACTACCAAGAGTAATATCTGAAGATTTAATTGCATGTTTATGAACAAGCTATTCCAAAGTATTTAGGATCTGGTGCATGTATCCTCTGTTACATTTTTTTCAATTCAATGTAAATTAATTTATTTTAAATTACATAGTGATAACTATGTGAGTTTCACTGGTAATTCTGACAAAGCTTTGTCTAATACAGAAATCACAATAACAATCAACAGGAACTGAGAGAGCACTTTGCTAATAAAATGTTTTTCAATGTCACTGGCAGACCGGTAATTACTGTACCTGTATATGGTGGACAGGGGGAAAAAGGCAGTACACGATAAAGGTAGCCTTCTTCAAGAATCAAATTTAATTTTCTTATATAAGAAAATAAATGCAACAAAATTCTCCCACTCCTTTACACACACTAGTGACATTAATTCCACAAATGCCTCCCACACACACCACTGGTTTTGGCTCCTTCATGATGAATCAGCCGCAGGTATGTCTGCTCTTACCTCCAATCTGACACTGTGCTGGTCCTGGGAACCCCACTTTTGAATTGGGTGAATTCCCAGACATGGACTCACCAGAGCTGGATAGCTGAAATATTAAGAATAACACAAATTATGGAACTAAATTAAATAAATTATAGCAGACCTATTAAATTTAGAGTTACATATTCTGCATTGATATTTACATGTAAAAACTATGATAAACCAAGCGCAATACACATGTATTGTATCAAAATGTAATGAAACTATACTTGTTATTAGACTTTCATTAAAATTCTGTCAGTTTTAAAACAGATTTTGGTGTTCTGTAACAATGTTAGCAACATTAATGTAATTATAAGGTTTCATTATCTTTTTATTTTTCAAATAAATGTCACAGTACATGCTGCCTAACGTCGGACTCTTGGCTTCACCTTAAACATTCTCCCACAAGAAAAATGGAATTCATCTAATTCTTTGTAGCTTATTGACCAAATACTGATAATATGTATAACCGTTTCCAGCTGCTATCTAATTTTCACAGAACAATAAAAGTGTTCAGTATGGGTTTTTCGAAAAAAGGACTAACTCGACAGATTCCAAGCATTTGCAAAAATCTAAATTATGACTGGCTGATCATCAGATCAGCTTCCACGCTTCCCACTCCGTGTTTCTGTCACCTGGCAGAAATCTAAATAGAAGAGAAATGCACTGTGTTGGATAAGACAGTCCATATTTGGTTAAAGGATGTAAATCCATAAATCAGGGGATCTAGAGTTTTGCTAATCTTGGACCAAAGTCCTGGGGGGCTAGGAGTGACAGAAGGGTGATTGGAAATAAGGGACAGGTGGTGTCCTTAAGCTGTTCAGCGACCTCCGTTCAGAAATCAGGGCCTACAAGCAGCTGAATCTACACATACAAAGACACCCATGGTTGGGCATTCTCAAAATAACTCAAACTACTGTCCGCCTTAGGAAAAAAAAACCTGTAACCGTGACTTTTAGTAAAGACTGCTGAAAAGAACAATAAAGCAAAATATAATAAAACACAATGTTCAAAAGAAACGTTTATTTCATGTGAAAATACAAAACATATTTTCAGTTAGCTCATAGTAAAAAAATATCCTATATTTCATTATCACGCATAGCCACAGATATAAGATATAGTGAACATTAAGAACAATATAAAAAATAATACCAGTACTTTCTGCTTGAAGTTGATTTAACAATTATGATCTGATTTTGGAAAGCAAGGATATCTGTCAATTAGTGTTACATATTGAAAATTAGCCTGTGGAATCTCAGCCAAAGACATTCTTCTTTCCATGACCTGATGATTTTGGTCAGAAATGAAATGGAATATAAAGTTCAGCACTGACCCTTGTTCTTTGGTCTTTCTTACCTTTTACTAAGTTGAATAACTCTTTCAAATTCTTTTACTTCTTCTGTTACTGAAATAAAAGCCTTAACTCCAGTCTGCAACGAAAAAATCATTAATGAATAGTCATTTCTTTTTAGTAGTAGTATTATAGTTGGCTGGTTAGTAGTATTATGTTGGTAACTGAGAACAAAACAGTCAATGAGCTGTAAAAAAACAAAAAGGTTCTGGCTCACTATTTAAATATCAGTTTAATATATAACACCAAATATAAAGATTATAATAAATGTTAATCTATAAAATCTGATTACTATTTGACCAGCACATACTGCAATATATCATTGTTTCCACTAGGTGTTGCACACTACTGTGCATAACTGTATGTACAGATTCTGCTATTATTTTAGATGTAATGTGTTTTAGCAGCACTTTGATGACAAGTAACATTGATTCGGTCTCTTGTTGTCAGATTTATGAACTGGATAATTAATCTAATTTTGCTGACTGACCTCTTTTGCTCTCGTAATAACATCTTCTATGTCCTGCAGAATGTAGAAATAACAAGGGTTATAAAGAGGAACAACAATAGACATAGAGGTTTACCTTCTAAAGCTCAATATCATGATACAAAAGCGCCACAAAGGGGGAGCTGTACACTCACACAAGTCACTCTGCTCCATATTTGTCCAGGGCAGTGAACACAGCTGGCCCCGACAGTGAAAATCTATTTCAAAAGACTCCCACTTTTGCAATCCACCCAAAACCGTATCCCAGCACTTGCTTAAGGGACCAATCAAGAGCAAAACTCTAACTTTAGCTCCAGTATGTTAATGAGAAATAGGATATTTAACCCACCCCCAACACGCAGGGCAGTTCGACTTCTGTTCTCTCCTGTTAAAAGTGGTCGTCAACCCTTCTGCCCAGCAAGAGCCATGGCCCCCAAGGCAGCCAAGCGACGGACAGGAGCCTCCAGCACAGTCACCTCTATCTTTGACCAGACTCAGATTCAGGAGTTTAAGGAGGCCTTCACGGTCATCGACCAGAACCGCGATGGATTAATCACAAAGGACGACCTGCGGGACACCTTTGCGGCCATGGGCTGCCTGAATATCAAGAGCGAGGAGCTGGACGCCATGCTGAGGGAGTCCAACGGACCCATCAACTTCACCACCTTCCTCACCATGTTCGGGGAGAAGCTGAAGGGTGCGGACCCAGAGGACGTGATCACCTCTGCCTTCAAGATCCTGGACCCCGAGGGCAAAGGCACCATCAAGAAGGATTACCTGCAGGAGCTGCTGCAGACCCAGTGTGACCGCTTCTCGGACGAGGAGATCAACAACCTATGGGCTTCTTTCCCCCCTGATATCACTGGCAACGTCGACTACAGGAATGTGAGCTATATCATCACCCACGGTGAAGACAAGAGCGAATGAGCACACTTCTTCCAAGGCATTCTGAGGAACTGAAGCTGGGGACCTACTTTCTTTTTAGCTTAATGGGAATCTAGCAATCTGTCAATACCAATCACATTAATTATCTGCTACATTGATTTTCCTTATGTTAAGAATGAATGTTACTGCCAGATGTCATCATTTAAAACATTTTCACTGCAATTTGGGAAATTGTGAAATATTACTTTAAAAAGCAATATTGCAATCTCTAGAACATGAATTGCCTTTTTGATGATGCGGAAATAATTAAGGTTTAGCAGTAAAAAATGAGAGCTCAACTGGAATGAAAATGATAAAACATTAAAGATTTGAGGATGGTGACTGTGAAGTCATGCTCTTGTGGACTGATTACAATATAACTACTATATACATTTTAGAAATCTGTGAATTTGGCTTTGAGAACCTTAATGGATCCATCGTATTTACTGTTACACTGAGTTTGCGGATTAGCAGTTAGAAAAAGAAGGGGCTGGCTGTGGCAACACTGTGCAAGTCAGGAGCTCGGAGTGAACTGGAAGGGTGGCCATCTTGAATAACTCTAGTCTACAGATCCCTTGTAAAATGTATTAAAAGGCAGTGGAGCAAAGCAGCCTAAATACAAAATGTGGAGCTGGAGATAAGCTTGAAAACTGCCTTTTAAGTGTGTCTCCCCCTCCAGGAGAAACAGGGAGACAGCTCTGTTGCTGTCTGTGCTGTACCTGTTCTTTTGATTAACACTTCTGCTCATTTTAATGCCTTAAAATGTATTTAAAAATCCTCCAAAATCTGTTTCAGCACAATAGGGAGAATTGCTATTACAATATGCAGCTGTTTTGTCCACCCTTCTGATACTGTCATATCCTGTTTACAAGTATTTGTATTGCATTTAAACTAAAAAATACAGGAAACTGAGTGATGCATTTCTTTTCAGTGAGAAAGAACAAAAATACTATTTCTAGAAGGTTAAGATGAAAACCAAAGAATGTGATTTTCTAAACAATGTAGTCTGTAATTAGTCTTTACATGTGGACTGTAATGTCTCAATAAAACGATAAATCCCATGTTGTAATACAAATTAATCAGCACCAAAAACTCCAACACTCGTGGTTCATTCCAGCTCAGAACATAAAATCACTATTTTTAACTTTTTCATGACTGAAAGGTCAAGAGATAATAATGTCTCAAATTTCAAGCGGCCAACGATCGTATGTGTGCTTTACGAAATGCTTCTTACGACTAAAAAACTGGACAAACTCTGTCTGTATAAAATAACATTGTAAAATAAATACAACATACACACTACATTGTATTATATTTACACGTAAATATATTTCGTAATCGTAAATCGGCGCTGACGAAGTCACGGGAAAGTATTCCACGTTTGGAATATACGAGCCAGAGGTTGTATAAACTGTATGTCAATTTACCAAAATATGTCCACGTCTTTCCCAACGTTATTGCTGGATAAACAAAACATCTATTTTCATTTATCTCCGCGACTATCTGTTGAACGCACGTGTTCAACAGCAGAACAGAGATTTGGTATTTCCCATACGTCTTACAGTACCTCTAAAAATTCCGGAGCTGAAAGATGACAGTGGCAATCAACCAATCCCACCACAGCCATTGAAATTAAAGTTTCACCACTCGCACAGCATTCTGGGACAGTGTAGTTTCTTTTCCACATTTGCATGAACAGTCTGGCAAGCTTGAAAGCCCGGACGGCGGCGTAAGAGTCACAGACTGCATTCCTTTCAATGGTGCAAGGATGTCTCTATAGTCTCAAGAACAAAACAGGGTTGTTATAGATGATCTTTCCACAGTGAGAGAATCAGTGCAAATACGAAGATTATATAAGAAATAAAAAATCCGTTCATGATCCAGAAAAGCATATACATGAACACACAAGAAGTGGGCGTGGAATATTAAAACAGTTAAATGCATTTATATATATTATTTTCATTTTATATACGTGTATTTCAGGATCATTTAATTAACCTACCATTCTCGCATTTCACGCATTTTTGTGTGACATTTTCTGACAATATATATAACTTATTTTGATGAATTCTGAAATTTGGATTTTTATGGACAAATATAAAAACAACATTTGACTTGGCTGCTGTCATATCTGAAAATGCATTTGATTAAATAGATTAAATAGATTGGAAATACGTGTTCATGGTATTATGGAAGACTCATTTGTAAGGTGGGTTGAAATGTTACTGTAGGTCTGTCCGGAAATCACATTTTTAACTAAAATGGTTTCCTTTCTCAGATACTTATATCTGTTCCAGAACTTACCCGTGTTCCTTATATCCTCATTTTAAAAAAAGTCAGATTCTATAGTTATGTGATTCGTCGGAAATGATAAAATGCTTCACATTTCCTAAGCTCATTTGCAAAAGCCAAAGAATGCAAAAGGTTCAATTCTTCCTGTTTTTCGTCATTATTATTGGGCTGCAAGTGCAAGAGTCATGACAAACTGGCAAACTGGCTCTCCCCAAAAATTAAAAATGTGGTTAGACACAAAAGCACAGACCAACATTAAAACCTCTCTCCCCGCTCTGCTTTTTTTGTGAAACCACGGCATAAAATGGCATTATACAAGCATTATTTTGAGGCACAACCTGAGAGAATTAAATCAGAATAAAAATATGTACAAAATAGCATTAGTTTATGCTTCCATTTTGTTACAACTATTCCTTCACTCGTTCACAAAATGATAAAGTGTTTACAGAATGGAAGAAAAAGGGACTTGTTACTTTTAAAGATTTGTACAAAAGAGAAAGATTTTCCTCATTTCACAAGTTTAAAGACAAATTTGGCCTCTCACAAACACTTTTTTTCTAAGCACAATGAAGTATCTGTTAATCACCTATAAGATGCTTTCTGCAAAGGAGCTCAATATTGAAAGTTCTAATGAGGTTTGGGGAGAGAATATTCACTGGTGTTCTATGAATGCTAGACACAAAACAACACAAGGTCATACAGTATGTGGACTTCAAACTAAACTGAACAAGATCTATTTTTCAGTCTGTCCTTTATGTGACAGATACAGGTTCTCTGATGGTACACTCATAAACATCTTCTGGCTGTGTCTCAAGCTACATAAATTAGGTAGAAGTATCCCAGTCACACGTTAACATGTTTGGGAAGAATATATTCCTCCAAATCCTGAATTAGGACTATGGCTGTTGAGAGGCTACATTGAGACTAAAAAGCAGAACAAGCAGCAATTGATTGGAATCCTGTCATTGAACCCTGTTTCAGTGGTGCTGATTTTCTCAATAGCATTGGAGAGCATTTGTTTTATAGGACAGGCCTCTGGAGCAATTCTATAGGATCTGGGGAACTTTTCTTTTCTGGATGTTTTCTTTTATTGTGCTTTTTTGTATATCTGGTTCTTAGTTTTTGTTCACCTTGTTAAAATTTTAAGAACTTCTTAAATACAATACTTAAAAAACATTATACACAAATTGGTGTTTCATGTTCTTCTTTATTACACTGTTTATCCCCACACATAACCCATACCATTCCCACAGAATTGTGCAAAGCGGGTTCTGAAATACATGTTTCCAGTACAATCATAAATCTTTATAAATTGACGAAGTGCTTGTTTGGATTGTTTTAACACCCTGCAATATAGGGTATCATCTTCAATGTCATTCAACATTACAGTAACTTCAGCTCTCTAGATGACCCAGTATTTCAGTTCTTTATACCTCTCCATTTGGTCATTTCTGTGTGTGTTAAATTCCAAACATGTTTTCAGCAGCTATTTTTTGTAGGGCGTATATTTCAGAGATTAAAAGTAATGCAAATCTCATGCTGTATGTTTTCATCTTCCCCATCTGAATGGTGAGTTTAGTAGAGGAACTACAGCAACAGCTAGTTAGCTTTCCTGTTTATAATAACAAAGAAGTGAAATTACCAGAATTCGATAAGAGGAAGAAAATTACTTTCACAGTATATTTAGATGGCCATTGATGCACAGTGTAACACTTACAGTAAATGCCATATGATCACATTTCTCATTTACTTTACTCAGTGAACACAATAAGAAACTAATTCTTTTAAAATGGTAAATTAGCATTACAACTAAAATTCTGAAAAGCATTTGCAACAGCAAATCCAATAAAAGATTTACAGTGACTTAATTCGCAAAGTCAGAAATTAAGCAACAAGGAAAGATTATAAGAACCCCCATCGACCATCTGATCATACCCGTTAAAACAGAGCTTGTACCCTCTTATGCTACTGCATTAAACCCGCATGAGCTTCTGCAGTTTTGGGAAGAGTTTCAGGGCATTCTGGGTTGTCACCTCCATCACCATCTCCACTGGGATGCCTTTTATCTTAGCAATGTATTCTGCAGGTATGGAAATATTCCTAGGCTCGTTTCTCACCTGCAACACAGCCAGCCAAGTCATTAACTCGGTTACTGTGTGTGGAGGAAGTAGTAACTCAGGCACAGCACAGTCCATATGCAACTGATTTCTTGACAGGTATCATTCTCTATCTACAGACCTGCACAGGGCATGGCTTGGTTCATTTGTAAACCAGAGGAAAATGGAACCCAATGTGGGTCTTGCTTTAGGATTTACAATTGATATGCTTAAGACCAGCAGCCATATCACCCTGCAACTCACAACTGACAACCCCCTGAAGCTTAGCAGGTGTGAGACTGTTCAGTATGTGGATGGGAGACCAACTGGGAAAAATAAAGATTGCTGCTGGAAGAGGTGTTCATGGGACCAGCAGGGGGTGCTCACCCTGTGGTCTGTGTGGGTCCTAATGCCCCAGTATAGTGACGGGGACACTACACGGTAAAAAGATGCTGTCCTTCGGATGAGACTTAAAAATGAGGACCTGACTGTATTTGGTCATTAAAAATCCCAGGGCTCTTTCGAAAACAGTAGGGGTGTTACCCCAGTGTCCTGGCCATATTTCCCATTGGCCTTCACCAATCATGGCATCGTAAAAATTTCCATCTCAGAATTGGCTTAAACACTCTGTTCTCCCCCTCACTGTTAGCTGATGTGTAGTGAGTGTACTGGCGCACTATGGCTGCCGTCACATCATCTAGGTGGGGGATACACATTTGTGGTGGTGGAGGGGAGTCCCCATTACTGTAAAGTGCTTTGAGTGGAGTGTCCAGAAAAGGGCTGTATAAGTGTAATTAGTTATTATTATTATTATTATTATTATTATTATTATTATTATTATTATTATTATTATTATTATTATTATTAATATGTTCAGGTAATAATTAAGGATATGAATTAAGCATTTAATATGTAGGGTACTATTAAACTAACATAAAACATTCCAGCACAGTGGATGCACTCAACACAAATACGCACTATCATATACAGAACATGCCTCACACCATCTGCAAAAAGAGCATTTACCTAACCAAAGTTTCTTCCCTCATTCCTAATTTATTATAATAAGAATAAGAATACAAATATAGTGTCCCCATCACTATACTGGGGCATTAGGCCCTACACAGACCACAGGATGAGCGCCCCCTACTGCCCCCTCTAATACCTTAATACCTTTACCAGCAGCAACCTGAGGTTTCCCAGGAGGACTCCCATCCAGGTTCTGACCAGACTCACTCCTGCTGAGCTTCATACAATGTCAATTTCTACACAATGTCATTTTATACATAACATCATTTGGCCAGACTCACACTCCCTTAGCTTCAGTTGCTTGCCAGTTGTGAGCTGCATGGTGACATACAGTAGCTATATTTTCTAATTCACTTTATGTCAATGCCTTTTCCTCTCATATATCATCTCATTTTCGAAGTTCCTGAACAGAGCATCACTGATGTTGCAGCTACAGTGCTTTAGAAAAACTGGCGTAGAAATCGGTTTACCTGTTTTTCTGGTCCCAGTGCAGGGGAATCAGTTTCCAGGCACATGAACTCCAGTGGCAGTTGCTTCACTAATTTTTGCTTCTTAGAAAAAAGACAAAAGGTATTAAAGGTACTCATTTGGCTTCATATTTCTCAGCAGTACTTTCACAAACAGCTGCATGTAAGAATATCCATCCATTATGCAGCAATGTTAACCACTGCAACACTCTGGCATCATATGTAAGAACAGACTTACTGTTCAGAAAATTTGTCAAATATGTATTTTATTATATCAATAAGTAATGTATTGTACAATAAATGTCAGTATATTAAAAGTTATGCAGCAAGTGTTCTGGTCAATCTGAAGTATATCGCCATCTGCTTTACTGCTCTCTTTGCTTCAATATACTGACACCATATCATATTTGAAAATTATTTTTTACTTGGATTGGACTAAATCTGTCATTCCCATCACCAAATACTGGGGTGCAGCGATAACATCAGTCTATACTAATGTCAAAATAGTGAATGTTTTCACTCATAATATGAGAGTGAACCACAGTACATGCACATTGGACTCAATTCAGATCACCTGTTCACTCCGTATGATTGAGGGTGGGATTGAAAAGAAATAGCCAGCCTTGATACCCTCCAAGGCCACTGAAGGTTTTCCATCAAATGCATGAAGCAGGACATTCTTCGCTCCTAGATTGCACACATTAAAGAAATCGAGAGTCAGAGCAAGACTAAGAGACCACTGAAGATCCCATTTAAAGTCAAGGAGCAGGCAGAGTGAGGTTTAGGAACTTGGAGCCATTATCATAGCATTTTAGATTTAGGATGCCAGAACAGACACTGCTATATATACTCAAGCAAGACTACTGGATTCTACTGCTCTAAAGTGTTGTGAAAGTTTGGAAATAACATAACATCACTTTATTAGCCCTGTACAATTTCTTGCATTAGAAATTCATCTTTTCGCATACCCCAGATTGCTCTCCATGAGACACAGACACACAGACAGGGAGAGAAGCTGGGGGTCAGAGCGCAGGGTCAGCCATTGTACAGCGCCCCTGAAGCAGTTGGGGTTAAGGGGCCCAACGGAGTAGGATTCCACTGGCGGCTGCGGGATTTGAACCGGCAACCTTCCAGTCACAGGCACAGATCCTTAGGCACAGAGCCACCGCTCCGCCCAATCACATGTCCAGTTATTTGATTGAAGCATTTATCATGACTTCCTTAAGGAAAAGGCTGGATGAGATACTTGGATCAATTAGCTTGTAACTAGCAAACAAGCTAGAGAGGCTGAATGGCCTTCTCTCGTTTGTTACCTTTCTTAAATCTTACCTATTGTTCCATTCAATTAGGGTGTGGCAGGGAGCCAACTAGGTCTGCTAAACTCATCTACTTTGTGAAGGAATTTAACCATAAACCACAGTTTTCCAGATACAGCAGACAAGCACATGGGGCAAACAAGTTCAGCTGGAGAACAGGCTGAGGTACAGTTGATGAGTCTATTGTGAGAAAGCAACTTTTTGCCAGTACCTTGTTCCTTCAATAGATTAATTGTCGGTCTTCCAGCAGATCTTGAATGGACATTTCTTAAAAACAGGCAAAAGTATTAATTACAGGTAGATGTCAGAGAATCAGCCTGAATCAGAACTAGAAACAAGTTCCAAATCCAGCTCAGGTTTTACTTTAAAAAAAAGCTTCAAACTCCAGTTCTGGTTTAGATTTTGAACCAAAGTGGAAAGGTGTCCCAATGTGTTTGTATTCCCTGGCAGAAACAAAAACCTCCAATATTTTAATTTGAAAAAATTAAAAACACACTGAAGCAGTGATTTATATCTTGTGCCTTCCATATTCCATATATCAGAATTAATTTTTACTCTGTACATTGCCACACCAACAGTAATTTCTTCTCATAGCACTTCACAAAGAAGCATGTTACCTAAAGATAATTAAAAAGGCTAAACTCCCATTTTATAGACTTCAGTGCGCAGCTGGAGTATGTCCTATTCTTTCTTTGCGAGACTCACAGTGGTAGATCCAGTCTTTTAGCAATCTCAATCTGTCGGATTAACACCTGCCGCTGTTCATCTTTTTGGTTCTCATTGGTGACAAATCGAGGTGTGAAGTCCAACCCAACCTGTTTGAGATTGAAGAAGAGCTCAGACAAAATGTAGACAGCTGAGAACATACAGCTCTTTGAATGCACTGCCTCCACCAATACTCCCTGTCTCCTTCTCTCACATATTGCATTGTACTAATTACTCTTTTTAAAAATGTTCAATTGAGTTACCAAGTTAACACTTTTGAAAAACTTAATGCACCCTCCATTTCATGTGCAATTAATGTTTGGTCCAAAGAAAGCACACCAAACTGCACACCAAATCCGTCAGCAGTCTGCCCCCATCCTTCACCCAGCTGGTTGCTGTCTTCATGCTGTATTGTTTGTGGCCTGGACAGAGGCATTTTTGTTTTATCTCAAAATATGTTACCCTCCATGCGTCTTCAGCAATTCTTACTTAATGGGAAATTAACTTTTGCTTAAAGAATGCCTTTAAAGGAATGCACACCTTTTTAAATTATTTGTTTTATTTTTTTTATTTCTTATTAATCTGAATATAAAGTATTTTTTTTCACACTGAGATCAGATGATTAATATTTTGGATACTATGGTTATCTCACCTCAAACAGATTAAGTTGCTTAAATGCTGAAAGTGTTAAATTAGTACCTCTCCTATGGCTAAGAGATGATCCTTGTATTTTTCTATCAGGGGTAGGGCAGCATCTAAATCCTGTTCAAACAGAAGAAGAAATGTATCTTCAGAGCACGTTTAGCACATGTCTGTGAAGATTTAGAACCAATATTAGTAGCTCTTTTACATTTCAGCGAGGAGATATTTTGTGCTTTAAAGAATTATATAAAAGGGTATTGATGACACCATAACCTTATTCAAACAGCTTTAATTGCAAGTAATCACAGCCCTCTGCATCCTGGGAAACCTGGTAATCTACAGGTTTTAACCTTATTAAGAACAAATTATTGTTGTAAAGACAGACATCAATCACATCTGTGCTCCAGATCCACCCCTCCCCGCCCCCAGTCTCCAGCCCCTGAAGGCTGGTACCTGAAGTGTCGCCCCCCTCTGAGGCACATCCTGGACTGGATGAACACCGAGTGAGGGCCACACAAACCCAGGGAACCTAAGATGATAAACAATGTAAGAAACCTGACCTATCTAAAATATATTTAATATAGTTTAGATTTAGATTTAATATATTTTGTATGTGGTATATATATTTTGCTTGCTTCTTACATCATCTTACATAGGAACAAATCCTTACTCTGTATTATGTCTTCATGGGGAAAAGGCTGTTAAATTTCAGAGAGGTGCTCTGACGAAAGCTCAAATAAAAAATTAGTTCTGGAAGCCAGACTTTTACACATGCATTGAAGAGAAATAATGTCTGGGAAGGTTATCCCTGTCGAGAGTATTTGAAGTTGACATCTGCGTGATCTGCAATATCAGTAAACAAAGTTTTGCAATAATTTGCCCTGACAATTATAGGATAAGAAACTAAATTCTACTCCACAGTCAATTAGACATATAATAGCTGATCTTAAATAACTCTTCCATTCATGCATGCACACTCCAACAAATTCACATTTTAATGGGATAAAACAAGATGCCATAAAAACTTACAGTTGGGTCACAACACCTTCATCAAAGCAGATGAGATTTTGATTATTTTCCTACTCACTTAATAAGTCATGCAGATTATATTTTTAGTGTTTTATAATTGTATTGAAAGACAATTTTGAAAAACACATAGCTGATATAAGTAAATACAGTGCCTCTGCCCTCTCAATGAACTACACTGTTTATTTGCATATTGCAACATTATTCACCCCTAACAGGAATGTATGTAAAGCATGTGAAGTTTAACTTTCTATGCCTGCTCTTTTCACCAACTCATTCTTTACATTATTAAAAACAGCACCTGCTAGAGAGCTCTATGATTTTATCAAATTCCCCAGCATGTTCAGCTACTGCAACCAGTGCTAGAAGTCCAGCCTGTAGAAAAAAAGAAAAAAAAACATCACTCAATATTTACTTATTTGTCACAGACTGTTTATATTAAGAACATAATGAAGTAAAGCTCAAAGTCTAACATTTTTTGTTGTATTCTGTATTTATTTGTGTATCTTTCAGTATCTTGTTTCAGTCGGAGTGGATCTAGTACTAGTAGCAATTTACTCCTGTCTAAGAATTCATCATATATTGGAGCTTGTTATTGTCTGTCTGCCTGTTCTTGGACAGGTACTGTATTTCAAATCTAGTTGCTTTTTTGATCTATAAGTTCTGGTAACTTAGGAAACATACTATTAAGTTTCTTGTTATCAGGTCTATAACTTCAGAATTGTTTTCCCAATCTATTGTATGTTCTGCTGTCAGTAGCCCACAGTTAGTTACACTTGAAAGTCCATTATCCTTTACAATTTTACCCCAATGACACTTTGAATGGTTTTGCTCTATGGAAAAAAAGAGAAGATTCATTTACACAATACTCTTCATGTTATAGCTCTATGAAAGTCTCACTAGTATAAACATTAACATGGATGGAGGGACACTGGACTATATATTCATTTACATGCTTTCAAACAGCAGTAGCAATTTCCCAATTATCAATTTCCCTTCGGGATCAATAAAGTCTTATCTATTTTATGTACAGACTGTCACAACATAGGACATTTGGGACTGGAATCTTTGGGATTCTATCCAATCTCCTAAAAAGGTACCCTAGAACCCTTATTTACACAATTCATCATCTCTTAAATCCAATTATAAATTGGAATACCCACTACTTAGTGGGTAATTCAACTAAATGCAACCATTTTCTTGATTATTTTCAATTTGATAACATCTTAAGTTTGATTGTGGATCAATCAATTCCACTTCTGAGAACAATGTATATACTAATAGGCTTGATGCATCTCACCTTGCAGCCTTTCACACTGACTCTACTTATCATCTATCTGTAATAATAACAAAACCCACGACATGTTATTTAATCTTATTTCTTGCATTCACATTTTGCATTTCTCTATTATCATGCATATTACCGATGAATCTGGTCAATTATGTTGCATGGTATTGGTATTGGCAGTGGCAGTGTCATGAAGCAGGTCCTTTTAAAAGGATTAAAAAGATGAGTTTGTTCAGCCTGTCAAGAGCAGATCATTCCTACAAGTCCAGGAATGTACCTGGTCACTCTTCTCTGGACTGATTTCAGAGCAGCAACATCTATATAGCACTCTGGCGACCAATAGTAATATTCTTAGTTAGGTCTTACTAGTGAATTGTACTATTATAACATCTCTTGACAGTATATCCTAAAATTATGTTAGCCTTTTTTGTTTCTTGTCCAAACTCATTAGAAGATGTAAATGATGCATTAAAATAGGTATTTTTCATAGACAGCTTCTTCAAGCTCAGTTTTAAATAAGATAAATAAATTCCTTAAACTTACATAGTTTCAAGAACAGGTGAGGGGAAAACATGGCCAGGAGACTACAGTTAACACCCCTACTCTTTTGGAGAAATGCCCTGGGATTTTTAATTAGTTCAGGTGGGTAGCTGCGTCAGCATGCATAGGCCGCAAACGAACAAGTAATGCTGTAGGTTTATTCCATGCTGAAAAGAGAAGAAAGAAAACAACATTTCGGCCGTGGAGTCTTCTTCAGGTGAAGAAGGCTGAAGAAGGGTCCACGGCCAAAACGCTGTGTTTTCTTTCTTCTCTTTTCAGCATGGAATAAACCAATTACTTGTTCCTGGGATTTATAATGACCACATGACCTTGGTTTTACATCTCATCCAAAAGATGGCGATTTTTACAGTATCTCCATCACTAAACTGGGGCATTGGGACACAGACTGCAGGGTGAGAAGTCCCTACTGGTCCTACTAACACCTCTTCCAGCAGCAACCTTTCCCATCAAAGTTACTGGTCAGGCTCACACCTGCTGGTTAGCTTCAGTGGATTGCCAGTTGTGAATTGCAGTGTGATATAGCTGCTGCAGATTTCCATTTTGTCCTTTATAGTTTACGTTTTTACTACGTGTAATACTCTCCGCTTACATTCAAAGCCATCATCCAAGTCTTTCAAATCTTTTTGAAATTTATTTGCAGTTTCTACAATGTTTGCTAATCATTAAAGTTAGCACTTTTCTAAACCCTGTATTTATTTAAAAAAAAACACACTAGGCAATACAAAATACAGAAAGGGACCTTATACCCCCAAAAAATGTTTTTACCTTTTTAGAGTTTTCTATGACATCTTCAAGGTCCTGAAAACAAAAAAGAGCAGTTGAAAAATAAGATTTTAAATTGCTCAAGATAATTCGTTTTTTCAGTGTTTTTCTCCATTGAACTAAACGTGTAAAACTCGTAACTCGTAATTGCATATAATTACGATATGTGTAGGCTTACTTCAAGAATATTAGCTCCCAGGGTCGTGTAATTGTAAGTCAACAAAATGATTTACGAAAGCAGCTCCTTACATTATCAAACTCCGTAGCCGATATATGACAGTGACAGTCAATAAAGCCTTTCATTCGCACGGATGAAAAAGAACAGTAATATATTCAGGACAGATACCAATATCGCGTTTAATATCTTATGAGGAAAAAAGTTTTACTCGTAGCAGTGCATGATTATCAGCGTTCCTACTCGCGGAACTATATTCATTCTACTGTTGTTTCTCTCGACGCTGTTTAGTGAACCTCGTGTCAGTCCCCAGAGTTTCCGCTTCCGGGTTTTTATTAAATTTGAATCAAAGGCGCTAAACGTAGGCTTCTAGCTTGTACTGTATGTAAGTTGTGGGGAAACAAACGCGGATAAAAGGTGAGGTGTATTTTAAGGATAGAGAGAAAATGACTGACGCTGAGGAAGATTTTAGAGTGCAGTGCTCCTCGAAAAGGTCGGTTTGCGAGGCAGTGCAGCAGTACGGGCTACTGCTGGGGAAGGTCTTGGACAGACAATCCCAGATCTCGGAAGAGCTGAGGAGTCGGGCGTTGCAGGATTTACAGTGGGTGAGTGAACGATGAAAATATTTGGTGTCAAACGTGAAAAGGCGAATAACGACAGGAAGGAAATTGACTTTTCGATGGGGGAAGAATTGGAAATATCCTTCAATAGAAATCGATGTCACCGTTTTGTTTTGATTTGCTGCTGCCTTTATTTGTGTTAATAATGCGAACCGCGAACTAAACCAAGCTTTGATCTCAAACGGGGATTCCACAGTTAACAGACAAAGACGGATTTTTTTACTATCCAACAATCAGTTTTATAACCACTTCATCCAATTCAGGGTTGCAGGGGACACTGAACTAACTCGACAGTCTGCAAGCAGAATACGCACTGGACAGGACGGTATTCCATCACAAGGCACACAAAGATACACACATGCATACTAAGGGGCCAGTTTTTCTCGGCAAGCAACAGGTGCAAAACAGGGTAACATCCTGGATGGGATGCCAGTCACACCAAGGCCTGTTTTCCCAGAAGCCAATTAACCTGCCAGAAGGAAACCGGTGCACTTCCATGGTGAAAAGAGGAGAAAGAAAACACAGCGTTTTGGCCATGTAGCCTTCTTCAGGTGTTCTTCTTCAAGAATGGATGACATATTGAAGATAACTAACTCATGTCTTATAATACAAATGTAAATGACCTACACCAGAAATATAAACAAATGTGTGTTTTATTTCTGATAGATTTTTTCAATATTATGATTATTTCATTATTTCATTTAAATGATAAAATGTATAAGCATTTTACTTTGAAATTGTAGTGTCTCTAGAATCTTAGCTGGTCATGGCCTACGTATGCTGATGCGGCCGCCTACTTAAACTACTTCTAACTATGAATTTCCTTTAAAAAAGTATATAACTTAATTTTCTAGGTAGAATATACTAAACATCAGAGAAATATGAACTGTGATATTCTATGGCTGCTCCAAGGCTGAAGTTTGTCAAGATAATGAAACAAAATATGATTTTTTATTTTTTATATTCTTGAAAATAAGGTGAATGAGTGGTGCATGGCCTTAAATGGCAAATTTGTCCTCTTTCACCTGTGCTTGCAATACATTGTACTCTTTATCTTTAACTGGAGTCTTGTTAAAATCATTTTATAAAGCATTTATTTTTGTTTTATATTTTCTTAATTGATTTGTTGAACCATTTCCGTTTCTGGGGATAAAACCCAGAACCCTACCTTGTTCATCCATTGTATTGCTTAAATTGCACCTTGCACTGTAACAATAGCATCTGCGCTCTTATCTAGTAGCCTGATCTTGTCAGATCTAACTAGCTGGCCTGGTCAGTTTTGGCATGGGAGACTTCTAGGGTCTCTCCTGAGAGAAGGTTGTTGACCAGCAGGTGGCACCCTTCCCTCTGGATCAGATTTTCCAAACCAATGTCCCAATTTATTCAGTATTGATGAGATGTTAAACCAATGTTCATAGCAACTGGTCTTTAAGTGTCTGAGCTACATTCCATGTGTAAAATTTGGCCTTCCAAAAGTTCTCCTTTAATTGGTTAATTAATTTATCACTTCTCTTCTGTGTAGTACTACTGTATGTTGCCCATGTAGTGCAGCTCTTCACTAGAGGGTGAAGTTGTTCCCCTCATGTACGAAAAGCACTGTATAAATGAAAGCAATTTATGTTCATTTTAATAATAACAATTGCTTACACTTCTGTTGTGCTTTTCCAGACACTCTACTCAAAGCACTTTACAGGTAATGGGGGCTCCCCTCCACCACCACCAACGTGGAGCATCCACCTGGATGATGCAACGGCAGCCATAGTGCGCCGGTACACTCACCACACATCAGCTATCAGTGGGGTTATTAGGATTATTAGGAGGCCACAATTGGTAAAGGCCAATGGGAATTTTGGCCAGGATGCCAGGGTAACACCCCTACTCTTTTTGAGAAACACCCTGGGATTTTTAATGACCACAGAGAGTCAGGTCCTTGGTTTTACATCTCATCTGAAGGACGGCACCTTTTTACAGTATAGTGTCGCTGTCACTATTCTTGGGCATTAGGACCCCCTGCTGGCCCCACACCTCTTCCAGCAGCAACCTTAGTTATTCCCAGGAGTCTCCCATCTAGGTACTGACCAGGCTCACATCTACTGAGCTTCAGTGGGTTGCCAGTTTTGAGTTGCAGAGTGATATGGCTGCTGGCTAATTAGGCTCTGTGTATTTGTTGCAGTATGTAACCATAGGTGAGTATAACGCTGTTGTATACAATGGTTCCCATTGCTTTTATTTAATGTAAGTTGCCTTGGATAAAGGTGTTAGCTGAGCAGTAACGCAAATAATTGCCATTGACAGAACTTCGAGACTGCCGTTCAGAAGAACGTGGTGATCAATGGCGAATCTTGGGATGACGCGCCCGATGACCCAGTTAACGGTGAGATCTTTCAAGATAAAAATACGACAAGTTACCTATATTTTTTCTTGGCCACACGTGATCTAACAGGACATCAGTACAGTAATATTTTTTTTTTCAGTTGTATATTAGCTACAGTTTCCTGACTTGCAGTCCAAGTCTGTCTGAACTGAGGTCACCCAGCTCCCCAAGGTCCTCATTCTAATCCAAAAGTGGGAGGAGATTTGGACCAAGCAGGACTTTGAGCAGTAACAGTGCCTGTCCCTTGGTTTAATGCCACACCACACCAGTTTCTCGAGCCAGTGTTTTGAAGGGAAGCCCTTCCTGAAAGGAAAGAAGCGACCTGTTCCTGAACTGGCATCGACGCAGGGAGAAATGAGGTGCCTAATGGGAAACCTGGCACTGGTGAGGAATGGAATGGAGTTGCCCTGGAGAGCACAGCTGGCATTGGCATGCCACATCTCCCTCTAACTCCCATAAAGATCGGGAGATGAGTTAGGGAGTAAAATAATTCTCCAGCCCCAGAGGGAGATAGAGATGTCCAGGCTGTAACACTCAGCAGCTGGCCAAGGAAACCGCACCTGTGAAGCTGAAATTTACGAAGCGAAACGAAAGGTGGTAGGAAGGGGGGCTCTTCAGAACAGAACAGTACTCTTCCGAACAGAACAGTACACAAAAAAGTCTTATTGCACAATATGACTATACATTTATATAATATATATATAAATTTATATAATATACATTTTGCATATTGTGCAATATGACTTTTTTGTGTACTGTTCTGTTCTGGTTTGTTCTTTGTGTGTTCTGGACTGTGAGTAATTCTTCTTGCACTTCTCACTATCATTCGTTGCATTGTGGCTGTGTTAAGCTGCTGTTGCACTGCAATTTCCCTCACAGGATCAATAAAGTATCTATCTATCTTCTGAGAACAGGGTCTAAGAAAAAGCAAGCCCTGTCTCAGGACAAAACTGAGATGCATCTCTGCGTTTGGAGATCAATAAGCCAAGAGCAGGTTAGAGAGAGTGCACATGTCCAACCGGTCATCTAAACCACCATGGAAAATTCCAGCCATTGGGGGAACCTCAATAAGCAGCAGTGCCAAATATTGGGTGGTGCTGATAAGACCCTGA